TGGAGAGTGTCCAATAAAACACTTGAGATGTTGGTGATGAAGTAGAATTTGCGGATGCTGCCGAGACAATGAGCTCTGTTGGAGTGGAATGATTATTGTTGTGTGAAGAGGGTGGTGGTGATGATAGACTGGAGCGAATAGTTCCATGATGGTTCTGTTGTTGAAATGATGAATTGGATATGCCCTCATCATTATTGGGATATTCTGTGAATTTGCTAGGTGTTGTTGATGATGATAATGGAGAACAAACACAAACATCCTCATAAATCCTTGGTGTTTCATCATGACAATTCTGTTGAGAAGAATAATTCGTGTAATTTCCACTCAAAACAGAAATACTTCCACCCAATGTATGGCCATTCCGAATTTCATTTAAATTACGAAAATAATTATTGTAATTACCACTTGTATCATCACTGTAGCACGCGTTGGTGGTGGTTGGACTCTTCCATGATGATTGTTTCTCCATCATCACTGCCGAGGTTGAATTGGAATTCATTAAAAATTTTTCTGTTAATGATTCTGTTGAAATTGGAACATGATTTGATGATGAATGTAAAGAGCCCGTTTCTCTCTCTTCTGGCCACGACGTTGATGATGATGATGGCAGTAGTCGTAATGAAATAAGGCTCGTGTTGCGGGCATTCATTTTTTTTCGCGCTTTAAAAAAATTGAGAATCTCATTCCTCAAAACAGATTTTATCAAAATTGCTTGTTAACATACTGAAATCATTTTGATTTGTTGCCAACGATAAATGCAAGCTTCCAATCACTAATTTTGGCTCATCATGATGAGTCGGAACAGTGTTAAAACTTTTGAAACTTTTAATTCTAATCACAACGTTCGTCGTTGGACATCGAAAGATGGTATTTAAAATTAATAATGAAAGCAGTTCAAAGAAATGCACAAGCACAGTTCTGAATTGAAATATTGTATATTATTTACAAAATTTTTACAAAAATACTCTTTGAAAGATTGGTTTCACAATCTCACTTTCTCAAAATTTAAATAGATAGTACAGATCAATTATTTGGTTTTCTGAAACAAGGAAGAAACACCAATCGACTTGGTCTTTTCCAAAATGGTATTCAACGGAGCCTTAATTTTAGCAATATAGCTCCGAACATTCTCAACATCCTCCACAGTTTTACTCATATAAAACTGATGATACAAGGTAATCATCAAAACCGAGACTCCCACTGAAATTCCGATCGTTTTCAACGTTTCTTTGAGAGAAGACTTGGCCGATGATGATGGCGGTTGAGGTAATTGAGAATTTGATTTGGTTCCGGACATTGTAGGGGCTGATGATGTCGTGGTTGTTGTGGATGTTGTAGGGCTTGAAGGTAATGCTTCCTTGTCTTGGTTGTTCGTATTGTTTTTGGCCATATCGATAATTTTTTTAAATATCATTTGAAATTTCATGAAGGAAAGAGATGCGGTGAATGAATTTATTTGGAATTTTTGTGAAAGATGAAAAATGGGAGTCAATTTTGCGACTCAAAGATGGATGACAATTGTGAAAACTTTTATGTACAAGTCATGTCTTTGTTGTGATGATGAATGTGGTTCATATTCATAGATTGATTAGTCATATCTAAATTAAATCAACTTGTTGTATGCCAAAGCAGAAGAAACGTCGTTGTGAAAATTTATTGTAAGCAGATTGTAACTATACACAACACAAGCTAATTTTTAAACGAATTGGTTTGATGGTATGAGTATCCATCGAAATTACCTTCTGACAGCACAAATCCCTTTATTTGCATAGAATGGAATAGAGGGTGAAAAGGTTGAAATGGGGATGATGACGTTGTTGGTAAAACTTACAATTATTGTGTTGTAATAGAGTTACAATCTTGGATACATTCGTGTCACGATAAATGTCTAGCTTAAGGGATGCGAGTTTATTTGATTGTTACACGTTAATAAGAGGAGGGTTGAATAAAAACTGCTACGTTTCCTGATTGTTATTACTACCAGGACTTGGAAATATGTGAAGGGTTGTGTCAAAGCCAAAATTTTGGTCCTTTGAAATATGGTAAAATGTTTTGACGGATGGCAGTGGTTGTCATCATACTTTATCTGATTCAACAACAACATTCAGTTTATTATCTACAACTTATGCTTCTTCGGTCCACTTGTTTTCTTCTCTTATTTTCGCCTCTTCCTCAGGGTAAAATCTGCCAGATAGTTCATCAAAGAAAGAGATCAAATGATAGATGGTCACCATTATCATGGTTCAAGTAGTTATTGAAAGATGGTCATTATTATGGTTGAAAGTGCACAATACAATCACGTCATGATATTGAAGTTTACATTAGTCATGCCAATTGTACATTCTGATGTTAACACGCACCATCATTATAAAATACTTACCATTTTGCAATCCAAACATATCTCTAAGTTGTTCTGGTGACTTTCCTCGTATCTGCTCCGCAAACTTTGCACAAAATAAATCCAGCAATCTCATGGCATTATAAAGATTGCTTGTCATGATTAAGCTTACAACTTCACTGTGGTTCAGTTGTTTAGAAAATTCATAAATAGGTGTGGGAATATATTCTCTCAGTGCTTGTGTCATTGGTTTTTCGATTACATAATCTTCACAAATTGCATGCAATTCTAAAGCGGTCAAAAACAATTGACAACCTGTAGCGAGGTTTTTCCAAATGAAAACCTCACTTGTGGAATCGTTTGTTGTTGCGATTGAGATGTCAATGAAACACAGTTTGACAAAACACCACATAAACTCATAGCTTGAGGAGTCATATAAACCACCTTGGAATTTGGTGAGGTATCTCTTTCAACTTGTTCCAGTAACGCCTTGCATGAATGAACACATTGCTTCCAATCATCCTCAACAATGCCATTATGGTTATTGACAATAAAAACAATATCACAAAAGTAAGTATTCATACCAGTATTCTCATAATGTAATTTTGTGCAAAATGTATCATTTCCACTGGCCAACATTGTAAATAATGTATATTGACATTTCATCTGATTTTTCAAACATTCATTTGCTAAATACACAATACCATGCTGTTGTGGTTGAGATGATGTTTGCTTCTCGGATAACGTTGAACGAACAACTTGATTCTCCACTCCAGTGGATTCCAATTCAACCGAAAGCGCAATGAAACCGAAAGGTCCTTTCCGAAAGACTTGATCCAAAACGGATCTCATCACTTGTCGGGAAAATTCATATTCTTTTCTATGGGAAAGAATGGAGCCACTCATGGTTGCATCTTCTACGTCGGTTGGGCTGCTATTCAATGACGATGAGATTGGACCTTGTTGAGAAGATGTTTCTTCTTGATTACTTCTTGAGCGTTGCTTGCGAAGACTTGAACCCATTTTTTTATTATTAATCATTTTGTTCGATCACGTTGTAGGTGGAAAAATGTCAATTTGGAGGTTACCAAAAAATCTAGATGTAACCAAATTTGTTGAGGAATGTTCACCGCATTTCATGACAACATGTACCACAGATTCAAAACCACCTGTTTCACATTGATAAATTTCGTCTTAATATACCGAATGCAGTTTGAAAAATTTATCGCTTTTCCAATTCCAATAATAGTTGTGAGCTGTTCAATCTTGATTGAGGCTGGAATCTTAATAATTGACTCATGACTCGAATTAATTTTTGTAAGAGACCCTTGTTGTGATCGAGATGATCTTGATAATTGGTGAGAATTTTCTTTTTCAATTCTTGCATACTATTGTTGTTGTGTGTTTAAAAACAATTTCGTTTTGTTAAAAATTAGTAATTATTAAATCACAAACAAAAGTGTTAAAGAATCATTTGATTTGTAAAAATTGGTAAATGTTAAATCACAAAAAGAATGGTGAAAGAAAAAACATACCAATTCTCTTCGGAATGAATTAAGAGTGAACAAATCGAAAGAGAAGTATCGAGTGACAATAATTGGAACAAGGTCACACCCAATGAATACATGTCTGTTGCAAAGCCATAGGGTTGATTCAGTAAAATCTCGACTGAAATGTAACATAATGAACCAGCATAGGTTTGTCGAGTGGTGTGAGCATTTTCTTTGCAATTCCAAAATCTCCCAATACAATTTCAATATTCTTTTGTTCCTTATTGTAATATCTGACAAAAATATTCTGAGGTTTGATGTCTCGATGCATAATGTTATGAGAATGAATGTAATCAATGGCTGAAGCCATTTGTGTTAAAATTTTCCATACAATTTCTAATGGAATTGGTTCTGACTTTTGACGTTGTGTGTTAATGAGTTGCATGACGTCTCCAAATGTGTACAATTCCATTACAATGCAAAATATAGAAGAGTATTGAGTATCGATTTGGAAAGTGTCAATAATTTTGACAATATTCTGATGCTGCAACTGCTGTACCAGCAATGCTTCATGTTCTGCATCTTGAATTTGTTTTTGAACACTTCCTTTTGGGCAGTTCACCATTTTAATGGCAACATTTTTGGAAGAGTGTTCATTAATGGCGTCACCAACATCGTTCAATACTTCTGCTTCAAAAACCACTCCAAATCCACCCTCGTCAATCGTTCTCACAATTTTATACTTTTCCTGAAAGACCATTCCAAATATTGTTCATATTTCACGTTTCGAGCTTGTCCATGATTTTGAGCAGGTGCATCATTGGCTCTCACTCGTTTCAATTTAATTAAATTTAACTCCTCTTCATGAAGTTGCATGTCTTTCAAGTCAATAACGTCTACGAGTTCCTTAAAATCTGGGTCATAAAATTGTAATTCGTATTGACCACGAATTCCACATCGAATTTTTGCCTTCCTCACAAAATCTTCGACACTTTCGTTTTGATTGACCACCATTTTAAATCTTTTTCTGTACAAATTCAACATGTTATCTACATATTCGACTTCAAATTTGTAGCAATCGTATTGTGTGGATTTGTTTAAAATCTTTCGAGCCCATTGCATCATTTCAGAATTTTCAGTCGATTCTGATAACTCGGCAACATCCATTCCATTTTTAGTGATTGAAATATCAGCTCCCATTTCAACCAAAGCAAGTGCCATTTTCATTTGATTGGTCTCTACAGCAAATGTTAAAGGAGTTCCATTTAAAATTAAATTTCCTAGAGAGGTTTTGCTTTTTGGTGTGTTTGCTTTTGATTGAATGATATTTGTTGCTTTTTCACTTCGATCAGTATACATGGAAGAAAGCTTGAAATTGAGAAGTTGAGGGAATTTTTCAATCAGTAATTGAATACATTGAGTTTTGCGTTTTCTCAAGCAATATAATAATAATGAAGGATTCGAATAATATGCTTCTGGATATCTGAAATCAGGAAGCTCATTTCGTAGCACTAAATGAGGTTCTTTTTCAATTAATAATTTAAGAGCGTCGTAACGATCGTGATCAATTGCAATAAAACATGCTTTGGCAAGAACAAGAATATTATGCTCCTTATCTTGTGTTAACATGTGACGGAGAAGAATTTCAGTGCTTTCCACATGTGGGTGATGAACAATGCTGAAATCAATGGGTCTGTACTTGCCCTCGTATTCATGGAGAATTTGTGGGTTCAATGTGACCAATAAATCCACAGCTTGAATGTTATTTTCACGTATGGTATGCATCAAGAGTGAGATATTAAATGGAAAATCTTCAAGTTTCGAAGGCCTTTCATGTAGCAAGTATTCGATTCGAATGTGATGACAATATTTGGTAATTTCTTGATTTCTACATGGAAGACTTGCAGTGCAAATATCATAGCCGTGTTTTGTGACCGCATTGATATTAGCTCCTTTTCCAACAATTTGTTTCAGCTCCTCGAATTGATTGAGAGAAATGGACATGAACATGGCTTGTTCTAAACTTAACTTTGATTCTGGGTGACCATTCAATAATAAATAATACTGATAATAGTCTTTGCATTTCATGCAGTATTTGGTGAGTAAGCATTCAATGTCCACCAAGTCGCTATTATCCAAACTTTCATACGCCTTTTTCAAAATGTCTTTGGCTTGTTTGATAAATTCGTTTGCGTTATAATAGGTGTTGGAGGCATTCTTTGTGAAAAAGTTTTCCAAATCAATACTGTATTCTTTGAATTTATGGCCAATTTCTGAAATCGTTTTCCATTCTCTTCGGTATTGAAATAATTGTGAAACATTTGTCAATGAAATGTCAAAAAAGTCGGCAAGAAGCATGAGTACGTTCACATTTGGATAAGTGACAGACACTGTTTTGATCATGTTTCTAATTAATACGAGAGGGTGAGACCCAACATTGGGTAATGTGTCGCTCTTACTTGAAGAAAAGGCTAAAAACAAGTAGGAAGCACAAATCCTCTTAAAAATCTCTCTTTCATGCTTGAATCTTGCTAATTTTGGAATGTCATAATTCAGAGAATCAGAAAGTTTGAAAAACCAACTGAAAAATCGGGAGTAAATAAATTGTTTCTCGTCTTGATATAAATTTGTTACTTTCATAGCTAACACCTCCTTTTTGATGGAAAAGAATGACAATAAATCTTCTTTGGCATGATGGAATCCAAGCTTCTCCAATTTCTTTTCTAAATTTTCAAATGTAATCAAGTTAAGAAAGTTATTAATGTAATCTTTGAGTTGTGCCAGTTGATGTCTCTTTTTTCGAACAATACTTGTCACTTTCAAATAAGTCAATACAGGATATCTTTCCCAAGCACATAGTACATTATTGACGCTTTTTGGAAAGAATATTTTGTGAGCTTCCTGAAAGAATTGCTTGGATACCAAACTCACATTAAGGAGATTTGTTGGAAATAAATACAAACAAATAGTTTTCACGATTTTGGATGGTAATACTTCTTTCAAGACTGGGAATCTTTGATTCAATATTGCCTGATTGATGGTTGCATAACTATTATCCGTTTGAATCAATGCATTCAAATCAATGTTGTGAAATTTGAAAAGCGTATATAAAGGAATCACCTTGTCCAATAAATCTACAATAATTCCATCCTCGCTTACTTCTTCATTATCATCTAAATCGAGAATTTGTTTCAAGGACCAAGAGGTCGACGTATTGATCCTTTTCACTTCTGCCAACTTTTCATAAAATTCTTTCGAGAATTCTTTAGCTAATTTTTTAGGTTTTGGAGGAGGTTGAGATGGTGAATATTTGGCATCCACGGCTGAAAATGGTTTTCCAGAGTTGGGTGACAATGGTGGAGGAGGTGGTACTGTGGAAGCTGTTGTGCTCGACCCATTTGCAGCTGAAATGGATTTGGTCACCGCATTCAGTTGTTTGAATACTGATTGCATCACAACGGCGGAATTTGTTGTTGACACGGGCGGTTTCTGAGGTTGTGATTCTTGCTGTGATATTCGAGAGAGTGAGGAAAATCGTTTACAGAGCTTGAACTTCTCAGTGAGAAATGACGACGATTCCAAACAGATGCTTGACGTAATAAACAAGTAATACAATGAAATTTTGTCAATTACTTCTGTGTCCATCGTTCTGTTTCTATAATCTCGTAACAAGTCATGATCAGCGTCAAACACTTGAATGATTCCTGCCAGTTTACGTTTTGGAGTAGTGTCTTTGGCCGTCACAGATACAATTTGTGAAAGTTGTGGAACAGGAGGCACTTTGGAATTTAAGCTCTTCCATCTGCGATGAGGCGTTGGAAGTTCTTCATCCATATCGAATGGAGGAATGTTCTTGTCTTTAACGATTCGCTTTTCAGGCAATTGTTTCACATCAAAAGGAAGATCGTTGGGTATAATGGACATTAAATATTCAATTTGCTGTTGTCTTTGCGTATTATTCACTGATTCATGTAATTTCACAATAATCTTGAATATAAATGTTGTGAAATTGGAATCTTTAAATCCAAATCTCTTTTTGGTAGCAGCAAAAAATTGTGGATAATTACGTTCCATGATGGAGTCAATCCAGGTAGATGCTCGTGTCCATTCGAATTGTTTGGAAAGAGCTGCCACTGCTTTCACTAAAATGTTGTACAATCGATTATGTTGTTTGTGAAAAATGTACGCTAAATAATCCGAGTATCGAATATTGTGAAAATGGAAGCCTGATTTTTCGTCATTCTTCTTGATGAAAAGTTTGATTTCTAGCAACTCATCGGTGATATAGCTGGATTTCTTCACTACAAACGTTGATGTGACGATTGAGTTAATTCCATAATTGAAAACAATTAAGGTTTGATCAATGATGGACATGAGTGTTTTCATGGGAAGCATAAATGGTTCAAACAGAGAAGGAGACACTTCGAAAATTCGATCGAAATACGGATCTGACACAATTTTTGATTCGTATTGATTTGTTTGTTCGAGTACTTCTTTAAGCTTCATGAAAGAATGTGAATTCAATAATGCATT